AGGCCCTCAAGAGCTTTAAGGTCTTATAAAGATAACCTGCAAAGAATTCTTTTGCCATTTTTGTATGATGTATAGAGATGACCTAAAGGTTTCAGGCCCTGCCAGTCCAAAAAACAATGGAGTTTTTAACCTTTGAAATATTAGAATTGTCAAATCTAAATCTAGGTAGGCTATAATATCATTAGGGCCCTACCAATTTCATGATCATGGGATTTTAAAAAAACAAATTTCATGATTTCAGCTATTTAAATTTGAAATTTCACAGTGTTGTAACTTTAGGGGTCCTGAACCATAAAAGAGTTGTGGGGGGGGGGAGGGGATCAAAAGGTCATTGTAGGGGAGGTTGTGATCCTGTTACCCTTACTCTGTGCTCCTGTTGGCAGCAGCACTGCCTTTAGAGCTGGGAAGCTGGAGAGCGGCGGCTGCTGGCCAGGAGCTCAGCTCTGAAGGCAGAGCCGTCACCAGCAGCAGCGCAAAAGTAAGGACAGTATTTGCCCTACTATCCTTACTTCTGCGCTGCTGCTGGCAGGACACTGCCTTCAGAGCTGGGTGCCCAGCTAACAGCTGCTGCTCTGCAGCCATCCAGATCTGAAGGCAGCTCAGAAGGGTGGCAACACTGCGACCCCCCCCCCCAAAATAACTCTGTAACCCTCCTGCAACTCCCTTTTGAGTCAGGACCCCCAATTTGAGAACCGTCTCCCCTGTGAAACCTGTGTAGTATAGAGTAAAAGCACACAAAAGATTTCACAGGGGGAAGACCAGATTTCACGGTCTGTGATGCGTTTTTCATGGCCGTGAATTTGGTAGGGCCCTAAATATCAACAAACTTAGCAGTAAAGGTGCTAAACAGTATTTACATGAGGTGTTAAAGACAGTTTCAAGTTATGTTAGCTCACTTGAGTTACCTTATCTGTTTTTAAAGAGCACCTCGTTTCCTAGGGCTTGTCTACACTTACAGCGCTGCAGTGGGACAGCTGCACTGCTCTAGTGCTTAGTGACGACACTACCTACACCAATGGGACAGCTTCTCTTGTCAGCACAGGTACTCCACTTCCCTGAGAGGCGGTAGCTCTGTCGAAAGGAGAAGCCCTCCAGTCAACACAGTGCCGTCTACACTGGGAGTTGGGTCAATATAACTGTGTTGCTCAGGGGTGTGAGTTTTCCATATGTTTGTAGTGCAGACCAGGGCCTCATCTTGACAGGTTCATAAAGTCTTCCCAGGTAGACAAAAACTGAATTTCTAATAAGAGGGGAAAAACCAAAGCCCCCGCAACCTTTCAGACCTTCTTTACCAAAAGAGGGAAAAGAGGAGAGACAAAAACAATTTTTGGCATTCTGTAGGTCACAGCGCTAAGTCTGTAACTAAAAGTTTTAAAGAGTTACTCTCTGTTTTAGTGATCTAGAGAGACAAGGTGCATTAGGTAATATCTTTGACTGGACCAACTTCTGCTGCTGACAGACAAGTTTTCAAGCTCCACATAGCTCTTCTGGTCTGCAAAACTTACTAAGGGTTGCCTACACTTAGAGTGCTGCAGCTTCACCGTTGCCGCTGTAGCACTTAGTGAAGACGCTATCAACGTCAAGGGGAGAGGTTCTCCGTGGGCGTAGCAGGTACTTCACTTCCTGCAAAGGCGGTAGCTATGTTCAGGGGAGAAGCCCTAGGATTGACCTAGCACTGTCTACACCGGGAGTTAAGTCAGTACAACTACGTTGCTCCACACCCGAGTGACAATTATATCGACATAACTTTGCAGTGTAGACCAAGGCTCAGAGTATCACAGCTAAATACAAGATGGAACAGACTGTTTAGCGTACATAGTTGATACATATTTCAAGGGACCATTCGAGGTGAAATGGCCCATTTCCTCTCTATGACTAGAGGGGTATTAAGGAAGGGGAGGCGTTATTAGTGGGTTATAGATTGTTATAAGCAGCCATAAATCTAGTGGTCTGATCTACACTATAGAATCAGGTTGCCGCAAGGCAGCTTACGGCAACCTAAGTATGTATCTACATTAAAATTTTGTTCCTACTAACATAACTCACCAGCTACATCAACACAGGGCTTGCCTACACATAAAGCCACTGCGGTGCATCTGGTGAAGACGCTCTATGTCAAGAGAAGAGAGCTCTCCTATCAGCATAATAGAACCACCTCCATAAAAGGTGGTAGCTATGTTGGCTGGAGAAGATCTCCTGCCAACATAGTGGGGTCTACACTAGCACTTACGTAGGTGTAATTTACGTCGCTCGGGGGGATTATTCACACACCTGTGCGACATAAATTATACTGACATAAGTAGTCGTGTAGGCATAGCGCCTTGTCTAAACCATACAGTTTTGTCGTCAAAAGTCAGGTTTCATCGACAAAGCGGTGAAAGTGTACACACAACAATGCTCCTCCCACCGATTTAACTCTCCTGCTTCACTGACGTAATAAAATCACCTTGACAAGCGGCATAGAACTTTTTGAGACAAAGTTGGAGGGATGACATGGAGTGATAGACAGTGCACTTGCTTCTGTCGCCCTAAGTGGCCTCCAGGTGTTGTCCCACAATGCCCATCATGATGGCTCTGGTAAGCAGTTTCTCCTCTGCTGCCCTGCAGCCAGGTACACAGGCATGCACCCCCCTCCCCGCTTTAAAGCCCCAGGAATTTTTGAAATTCCGCTTCCTGTTTGCTCTGCGGGGACAACTCACATCATACCTTCCCAGCTGACCATGCTGGCTTTCACGCTCCCGCCTGGAGTACAGAGTTGCTGGATTTGTTGGGTGTATGGGGAGAGGCGGCTTTGCGGCTGCAGCTCCGATCCTGCCATACTAACTTTGATTGCTCGTCGTATAGGTGAGATGGGGCACAAAAGGGACATACAGCAGTGCCGTGACACACACATACAATCGATGTAATTACTGCAGCAGCTGTATGCCAATGTAAATTAGGTTGACTTAATTTTGTAGCACAGACATGACCAGTATCTCTGTTCAGTCCATGACTTTTAGTGTCTAGCAAAGTTATGAACTTAAACTCCCAGGTTCATCTTTTGAAAGTGTTGTGCAGGTTTCCTTTGAGGATAAGGACCGACAGAGTGATCACTTTGTGAAAAGTGTTTAGTCATAATGACATGCTGTTTCTGTCTGTTATTTTCTTGTAAGAGTTCATTAGAGAGCGTAGTGATTGTCTGGTTCTACCCATACCTATAGTTTAGTGAGCTAGAGTCATTTAATATAAACCAACCTCTGTTTTCTGCACTCATCACTGAACAGAATTTTTTGAAGACACTCCAAGAAGATATTTTAACATGCAGGCTAGCCTAAACAATGCAGGATTATTAGCAGAATTATCAAAATTAGAGGCTACTTTAGTATAAAGCCAAAAAAAAATTTGTATTAGTTTCCAATACCTCATTCTGCCTGTAAAAGCACAACTCGCAGTAAGAAAATCTTTCAACTATAAATATTCTCATTCTCTTTATCCTCTTTTTATACACAGTATATTTAATATTATACACACATAGACACACCAAGAAATGCCAACAATAGTCAATTTTAGCCTATGAGAGACACGAGCTACTGGGCTTAGTGGACAAGCATCCACTTTATCCCAAAGCAGCACAATGAGCACTGATGTGCCCCCAAGGGTGGAAAGGCCCAGAGCCCTGAGTTACCCTGTTGTTCTTAGGCTGCATCTATATTGTAAAAAATAATCAGACAGGTAGTTTGCCCCCAGCAAAACCCTGCTTATGGTGGCAGCAGACGAAGCTACAGCACAGACAGGGGCAGAAGCCTTTTCACCATCTAACCACTCATCCTGCTGAGAACTGCCAAACTCCCGCTGAGCTGGTGGTGTCCTTGGGAGCTGCTCCAGCTCCACGTTACAGGCCTCTTTGTGCTTTGGTATGGGATGCCAGGGAGGGTGGTGGGTTCGTGCTGGGAGGGGAAAGGGATCTCATCAAGGGGAGCTCTCAGGCAGTGGGGAGAGGTCCATGGGGGTGAGACGCTGTGGAGCTCTGGGGCAGTGGGGGATTTCCATGGGGATGGGTTGTGGTCTTTTAGGGCAGTGGAATGGGAGGAAATCCACATGGGCAGGATGCAGAACTCTAGGGGCAGTATGAAGGTTTATTTATGGGGCGGGTTGTGGGGTTCAGAAGGAAGCAGGTTAGTGCCGGGGAGGGGGGAGGAGATCCTGCCCGGGAGAGCGGGGGGGGGGGAGCAAGCCGGTGCCGGGAGGGCGGGGGGGGGGATCCTGTCCGGTGGAGCGGGGGCAGGCCGGTGCCGGGAGGGCGGGGGGGGAGATCCTGCCCATGGGGGAGGGGGGCTAGGCCGGTGCCGGGAAGGGGGGAGGACATACTGCCCTTGGGGGAGGGGGGCGGGGGGAAGAGGTGGGCAGGCCGGCGCCGGGATGAAGATGCCGTAGGGCGAAGCAGGCCGGAGCAGGCCGGGAGGGGAGAGGGATCCCAGCAGGGGGAGGAGGGGCGGGCGGCAGGCCAGGAGGGAAGGAAATCCCAGTGGGGGGGCGGGCTGGGAGGGAGAAGGGGATCCTGCCCCGAGATCCTATGGAAAATCCCAGGGGAAGTGGGAGGGCGGCAGGCCGGGAGGAGAGGAAGATCCCAGCGGCTAGACGGTGCTGGGAAGAGGGGAAGGAGATCCCGGCCAGGTGAGCGGATCTCGCCCGGCGGGGCGGCGGATCTCTCGAGCGGCCCCTTTCCCCGCTCCGCCCGCAGCGAGCTGTGCCGAGTGACAGACGCTGTGGGCGGCCGGGCCCCGCGAGCGGCCCCGCTGCCGGCGCCCCGCGGGGCTGGCTGGCCGGTCGCTGCCCCGGGAGGCCGCAGCCCCAGTCCCCTGCCCGCTGCCCGGCCGCTCACCCCGGTGCCGTTGTCGCACACCACCACCTTCCTGCCCAGCGCGTCCATGCTCCGCACCGCCCGAGCCCCCGCCGCCTGCGCCCCGCGCTGCCTGACGCGCCGCCGCCTCCAATCAGCGGCCGGCTCGGCGCTGCCGCCTGCCGTTCCCGCTGCGGTCCGACCCCTCGCGGCGCCCAGTCTCCTGTCGGGTCCGCTCCGGCCTGGCCTTTGGGGTTGTCATAGCGGCGGCTCCTCCTGCAGGGCGCGGCGCCAGTGACTACGGCCAGGAGGCCGTGACAGGTGAACGGGGCCGGGCTCGGCGGGATTGCTCCGGGGAGTCAGCGCGGCCCCCCCCCGACAGACAGACAGACAGAGAGCCGCACCCCCGGCCCCAAGCCCCCCGAGACAGCGCCACCCCTACCCCAGGGGCACCTATCCCGCCCCCAGGCACTCCTCTGCCCCAACCCTCGCAAACACCCAGCCCCACCACGCCCCTCACCCACACCTCCCACCCCCAATAGGCGCACACACAGCTCCAATACTGCGCCACCCCTCTACCCCCATAGATACCCCCACGGCCCCAGCCTGACACAACCCCCATCCCTATGGACATCCCCTCCTTGGCCCACCGCTCCATAATTCCCCCACATACACTGGCCCGCCGCCCACAGCTCCACAACCTCTCCCCGCAACTGCCCCCCGTAGATACATCCTCCTACTGCCCTCGAGTTTGGCATCCCGCCCTCCTGGGTTTCCTCCCATCCCACGGCCCTAGAGGGCCACAACCCATCCCCATGGAAATCCCCCACCGCGCCAGAGCTCCACAATGTTTCACCTTTGTGGACCTCCCCCTCACCCCCTGCCTGAGAGCTCCTCAGCCCCATGAACACCCCTGCTCCAGAGATCCATAACACACCCATGTCCAAATATTCCCTCTACAACACCCCTCCCTCATCAACCAAATACCTAGGAGAAATTACTAGGCCCTCTGAGTTATTTAGGTATCTGCAAACCTAAAAGATTGACTTCCTCTACTCATTTGAAAAATATGGAATGAAGTCATCAGGCATGTTATAACAAGGAACTACCTGAGGCAAGGCACCTTATGTATAATCAGAAATAGTTGGTGTTATCAGTGTATTAAATCCAGTCATTAGTTGAGCTCAATACAGGCAAGGGGAGGGATAAATGATCATTTTACTGTACATGTTTGCATCTAGTTTCATTTTCTGATGCTTTACATATAATGAACTTATTAGACTATTCATTTTTGTTGTTTATAAATATAAAATGACACAGTGGCCAGTTTTAAATAACTACCTTTATATAGTTAAAAGGACTTTAGTACTCTTACCCTTTTGGTACAATTTTTACCATCTCATATTTACAATATCCTCTTCGAAATCTCTAAATAGAATGTCCTTCCCTAATAGTTTTGGGCTTTTCTGCTTGGCAAACATTTTGCATTTCTCAGTGGGTTCCAAATAAAGAATGAAACAAACATGTTTTCTTACTTTGCTTCTTAACAGCTGCTTTTCTTGCACACCCCAAATTCCCCTTGACTTCAATGACATTATTAAGATGGACAAGAAATGTGGTATCAGATTCTCATTTTTTCTCTTGTATCACTGGAGATGTCAGGCCAACATTGGAAGTAGTGTTTTCTAATTAAACATAGTGAAAGGCACATAAGCACAATGTTGGGGGGTCCTAAATAAATAGTGGCCATTGTGTTGTTCTTTGATGCCTTTAAAATATTAAATTTTTAAGTGCAATCTTGGGGAACATTCAGATTTTTAAAAAAATCAGAATTTCGGTCTAATAGCCAAACAGGTTTTTAAACTAATTATGTCCAGTTTTTGAGAATGATGAAAAAGACAGGGTGCTATGTAGTAGGACAAGGAGGCTACCCAAGCAAAGATGGAATAATTCAATGTGATACAGCTATAATGGAAGGGCTGCATCCTGGTCATTTTGGAGTGGCAGCAGCTTTGACTGGGCATGACTGTACATTTATATGTAAAATTATATACATACATACATACACACACACTTTTTAAAAATGTGTGAAGTTTTGGGATAAAAGTGAGGGCCTTAAAATTAGAACTCTGCAAATAACTAATTTTTTGCTTTGCTAGCTAGCTGAACCGAAATTTGTTTAAAAAAAAAAAGTTTCAGGTTGACTTGAAATGAAAGCTTTAGTACTTTTTGGTGAACTGACAGTTAAAAAAATTGTTTTTGATCCGAAATGAAATGTTTGATTTATTAACCTTTTTAAAATGTAATTGAGGTAAACTTAGTTTTCAAACAAACTTGAAACATTTCTTTTACAAAATGTCAAAAAGTGCAATTTTGGAGGATTTTTTTTTGAGGGTTTGGCGGAGAAGGATTGACCAAAACAGTTGGGGGAATTAGACATGAAGTTGCAAATTGTTTTGGCTGACCCAAATGTGCGTTTTATGGTGAAAAAGGTTTTGTCTGAAAAATTTCACCCAGCTCTACTTGCGGAACTGGTTTAGAGCAGTTTTTTATGGAAACCTAATGCCCATCAATCCTGAAATATTAACTAACGACTGAGGCTGACACCACTCAACTCATTTACCCATAAGGTTGTATGGTTCAAAATACAACACCAAAACCAAACTCATGATTTATCAGAGCTGTGTATTTTCAACATTACTTTATAGTGTAGAATATTGTTTTTGAAGTCAAAGGGTCTAGGGCAGAAAAATCTTGCAGGAGAAAACCTAGCAATATATAAACTTAGCACAAAATATTAAGAGTGCAGTATAAATTTGTTCTGTATCTAGTCTGTGTTTGTTATGTTTAGGCCAAGATAGAAGCTCTAGTTGAAAGTAATAAAAAAAAACAATCAAGATTTTTAATAAAAAAAAAATCTTTCCTATTCTTGGAACCTAATATTTGTATATGTCTTGGTTTTAGTTTTAGGTATTTTTAGCCCTTGTTTTTGTTGTTGTACTGATTTAGAAAAAATAACCATTGCATAAAAATTGTGTAAAAATGTAATTTTCATTCTGAAAAAGAATTGGAACACCACTTGCTGTAACTCAAAGTCATGGAGAAAACTACTCACTGTATGCTGGTTAGAAAGGGTGCTGTGGCATTTGCAAGAAAGCAGGACTTCACAATAGAAGAGCATAAAAACCTGATGACTAAGCAGAGTGCTGAAGCTTATCAGGTAATGTACTGCACCTGTCCTGTATTGATATGAACGGATTTTCATGGGCTTTCATATTAAGAGGTCTCTCTGAGCTATCTTGATGTGCATACACACAGAAACCACACTAATGTGAATGGGAGTTACCCGCACACATAAAGAGAAAAATAAACTCTAAAGGCCAGATTCTGTCCCAGAGTTCTTTGCTGTCCTAAATGAAAAGGGGGTGCAGTCAGCTCCCTTAATATTTTGGTCAGCCCCAACCTAGTTCAGAGCAGCGTGAGTTGTTCTAAATGCTGCCATTTGGTAATGGTTACAAAGAGACCGTCTGCAAGCTGGGAATTAATGGCACACAGTGTCCTGCAGCTGCACCACTACCATACCTGTTCCAACCCTTGCTCCCACTCCTCACCATGTCCTTTACACCTGAGGGTGCGGGGGTACACTTACTCTTTGCCTGCTGTGGAGCTGAGGCCAGTTTCTACCCACATTGAGCAGAGTCAGGGGAGAGAAACTGCACCTGAAGTGTTACCAGGAAGTGTTTCCTTATTATCAAACTAGTCTTCATTGTTTTGATCTATTTTTTTTTTTACTGTGCTGTATTATTCTGCTGCCAAGATTATCATATTAATACAAAAGAACCTCATTAATCTAAACTTCACTAAACAATACATTTTGTAGTCCACACAAAACTAGCCCTAAAATTGACTAAACATTACATAGGATTTGGTGGACTGTAAAATAGTATATAAACCAAGTCAGAAATGTTTAGCAAGTGCAACTACTTACAATTTTTATAAGCCATTTGACAGATGGGCTGGCTCCTCCTGCCGTGGCAGATTATGACCACCTCATTACAATAAAGCATCTCTGAGTTTCCCAAATGTCAAAAATCTAAATCACCACATTAACAACCACTTGTTCGTGGCCCAAAAATTGTGTTGAAACCAAAAGTTATGAAATCCTGATTTTGCTAAAGTTCTGAATATCTTGTGAGACTATTGTAAAATTGGGGTATATCTCTATTGTATTTTGCCAATTTGGTTTCATGTTTGATTGCAGAATGCCATTTTTATTGTAGATGAATGTGTTTTCTTTGTAAAGAAATTACTTATGACTACTATGAGAAAAATAAAGGGAAGGACTTTGATCAGAATTTTAAAAATAAACATGTTTATTTCATTTATTTCTTTCTCAGTTACACTAATTCTGGTTGGATGATGCTGGAAGGAGCTTAACTACACAAAACCTTTCTGTGGAAATTGCAATGTTCTTTTGTAGATCCAGCCCTATGATTCTAGAGATAGAGACTTTGACATCTAATAAAATATATATTTTTATGTGGAGGGGGGAACATCTTTAACATTTATTTGTGGGGTGGTGTAACAGGGTGCTGGACACGAACTGCTGAGTCCAGCTCAGCCCTCTGTCAGGCCAGCTCCCATTAAGGGAGAGAAATTGGAGCTGGCTAGAGAAACTTGTGCCTGATTGGCAAAGGGGAAATAGCTGCCAGGTGGTTAGCCTGGGGCTGCATAAAAGCCTCAAAGGAAGGAAAGGGGGAAGCCAGAGAGTGGAAGCTTGTCTCTCATAGCTGTAGAGGCTGGGAAGTCCTTCAGATGGAAACCCCCCCCTGTTGTATATGGTGAGAAGGTGGTGGGATTTTATGCTGTAAATAAACTGCACCAGTGATTGCAGAGCCAGAAGGTCTCTTAGTGGTTTTTGGAGTAGAGGCAGGAGCAAAGGGGGTCCTGCTATGCCCTGTTACAGGTGGGGAAAACTTTCTTTTCTAGCCCTCAGGCATTCTGGAGTGGACTCTCCACTGCCTTGCACACTGTGTAGTTACTTAGACCTGTGCAAAGTGGGTGGGAAATGCTACGAAATTAGATTTCTCCATTCACTTTTGCCATTGGTAGCATTTTACACTCACATTTTACAGGGGTAAACTACATGAGTTCGCAGGAGTGGAGAATGAAGCATCCTAAGGTCTGATTTGAAGGGGGATTGAGCACCCATAACGCCAGCTGAAGTCAGTGGGACATCTGGGTATTCATAACCTCTGAAAATGAGGTCCTAGATGTCTAAAGTTTGGCAATGAAAAATTGAGGTACCCAAAATAAGATACCACTTCTGAAAATGTAGTCCTAAGTGACTACAGTCATAGGGGAAGTCTGCAGCAGAGCCAGGAATAGAATCTGAATAATCTGACTCCCAGTCCTGTGGCTTAACCATAAGACCAACCTTCATCTCCAGATAACAGCAGCAGATTCTTTCAAATATGAATGGAGGTTTCAAATTCATCCACACCATATAAAGAACAACACTTTAACATGATTCACTGATAATTGAGTCCTCGTAACAGAACTACATTCTCTCCTCAAATCAAAAAGAGGGGTTTTGGTTTTTGAAATCAATTTACACTTTGCTACTGTGAAGTCCACTGAGAGGAGTAAACATTGCATTTAACATCTTCATTCCTTCTGCTACCCTGCTTCACTTTTCAGCATGTAAGAATGACTTTAAAATTAATTTTTTTGTAAACACTTTACCTCACTAAAAATATAACTGTGAAATACTCTGATTCAGGAGAAAACACATTGTTATAAGATCTCTGATTTTGAGAATATCCCTTATTTTCTTCAAAAAAAATTTGTTGGAACATTTAGAAAAAATTTCAGAGGACACAATACCTTAAATAGTAATTTTAATGATTTGATTATTCTGTATGAAAAATGTGGTAAGTACTGGAGTTAGAGGTCATTAAGAATCGAACTGGCTTGCATACATACATAAATGGATGTGATGTTAGAGGATAAAAGTTTCTATCAGCAGCAGCAAGGATATTGTGGTGAAATGATAATTGTATGCTGACTAGCATCCCAAAACTCTTCACAGAGAGAAGTGATACAAGAGCTGGTATAAATTTTAGTGAAGACAATCAAGGAAATATTCTGCCATTGTAAATGCAGAGGGCCCCTGACAGTAGAATTGGTATGGTTCTACTGGTTGAGGACATGCTGCATGTACCACATGGAGTCCACACCATGCACAGAGAAGGGTTGGGGATAGTGGAACTATTGGAAGGTTTTAAGGCTGAGATAAGTTATGTATTTGTGTACGTGGGAGAAGACAGACGTGCATATTGGAGTCTGGAAAGTGGGAGTGACAAGAATCAGAACAAGAGAAGATGAAGATATGGACAGGGAGTTCAGAACAGGTTGATTCAAGAAAGTAGAGCTGATAGGCTGTGTGGAGGAGTTTGGGAAGGATAGAATCCTGTCTCCTCCCTCAACCTGGGAGTAGATTGCAGAAGGGTTATAAGCACCTACACATGAGTTTTTGCTGGTGGATCCCTCTATATGTGGGGTCTGCCTCCTTTTTGAGGGGCTACACGGCAGGTCCCTAATTTCTTTGCACAGTAGAACTCTTCTGGTTCTGTTGTCTTTGGGAGGCTTCATGTGACCTTTCCAAGCCTGGGCAGGTTGTGCCCCTTGTAACTAAAATGAGAGCTGTTATATAATGAAACATGAAATCTTATCAATCATAGTTCATCTTTTATTGACGATTAAACTATCTTTTCCAGAAAACTGCAGTAAGATATTTTTATTTATTTATTTTGTTCAGACTGCCAAGGCACAACAGAAATAATGCATTCACTCTTCAAGAGAGAATTAGCGTATGCTGCTCTTGGAGTTCCCCCTACTAACCTTTGGATGATACTATGACTCAGTAAAGCCGAAAGCATACCGAAGTTGAGAGTTATAAGAGGGAAATGGTGGCCCAGCAAAAAGGGATGTGTCACTTACTTGAAGTAACGAGAGCCTCTTGGCATGTGTTCTTATCTTGGAAAGAGTGCTAAACAATTCCAGGAACCTCACATTACAAGCTGATATAGATGTGTTTGTATTTCCAAGGAAATATAAGACGACAAAAATTTTACAGGGAATCTTGTTTAAGGAGAATTACTGTCTATAGACACACATTAGACCTTTCATAGGCTGCATATTGTATGCCACAAATTAAACACCAGCATTTTGATGACACTTGAAGTGCTTAAAAACAGATTCCTGAACATGTTATGCTTGCTATTGACATGGAATATAGGAACCACTTATTTTAAGAGATTGTTAGTTTGAGTTTGGAGTAATATACGCCAAAAATAAAATGAACTGGTACCAGTTGTAGTAGTTTCAAACAGAGCTTACATGTGTTTAAACATAAGTATTACCTAGAAGGCAAAATGAGCATGGAAGTTATGTGTATATCCTGAAGGGAAAGCATTCTTTCCACCCACCCCTTTTCTATCCGCTAACAGTTATGCCAGGTATAAAGTAACAGAATTTTTTTATTTAAAAATTATAAATGTCTACATCAGTAGAAAATTCAGACACTTTGCATGTTTGAATTTGATTTGAATTAGTGTGTAATGTCTTTGCCAGCTAGCAGATGTATTCCTCTAAACACACTTTTCTCTAATATTTAGAATATTCACTTTTTAGGTGGTTAATGATTCACTTATTCATAAATGTTTTAAATACAAAATTCTGTTAAGCAGAAATTCCAGCAATTACTTTCTGCCCATTAGGGTAACAACTGATTAATAATGTCTGTTCTAGCAGGCCTTTCTCAGGCAAATCTCCTGTTGAAATTGGGAACCATTAGGTATTACCATATTGAATCAGACTCCTCATCCACCTAGTCCAGTGGGAGTTTTGTTTAAGCATTTGTCTACATGCAGTTTTTACACTGATTTAATTATATTAAAACCCAATGTAATTAAATTGGTGCAATCCTCTAGGGTGAACACAGTTATACCAGCATAGCTTATTTCTGATCAGTACTGTAAAAACAAATACACACACTGTGTATAGGCCAGCCCTAAGTAAGGTCTGTAGGATTTTGTCCAAAAGTTTTAACCAAGACCGATTTGTCTCTTGAATCTTGCCTAGCTCTAGTAAATATTGTCATAAAAATAAAGGGAAGGGTTACCACCTTTCTGTATACAGTGCTATAAAATCCCTCCT